ACCTAGGCTCACGCTCCAGGCTTCGCAGCAGGCCCCGCGCCCTCCTACTCGTCGCGGCGTCAGAATCGCCGCGACGGCCGAGCATAGGTCGCGCGCTTCAGCACCATCCATTTTCGGGGCTTCTTGATTCGCAAGGTGAGTTGTTACACACTCCTWAGCGGATTTCGACTTCCATGACCACCGTCCTGCTCTCTGTATCAATCAACACCCTTTGTGGTGTCTGGGTTAGCGCGCAGTTTGGCACCGTAGGTCGACTTTCGGTTCATCCCGCATCACCAGTTCTGCTTACCAAAAATGGCCCACTTGGAGCTTTCATTGATCCTCGGGGTTTGCTTAAGCAACCCCTAAATCTTACCTATTTAAAGTTTGAGAATAGGTCGAGGGTGGTTCACCCCCGAGGCCTCTAATCATTTGCTTTACCCGATAAAACTGTTCAACAGCTCCAGCTATCCTGAGGGAAACTTCGGAGGGAACCAGCTTCTAGATGGTTCGATTAGTCTTTCGCCCCTATACCAAAGTCCGACGAACGATTTGCACGTCAGTATCGCTGCGAGCCTCCACCAGAGTTTCCTCTGGCCTCCCCCTGCTCAGGCATAGTTCACCATCTTTCAGGTCCCAACGGGCATGCTCACACTCAAACCTCTCACAGCAGATCGTGGTTGGCGGACGGTGCACCCGCAAAGGGTTCCCGCCACTTAGATTTCTTCCACCTCGTGGGCTAATCACCCACCGGCTCGCATGCACGTTGAACTCCTCGGTCCGTGTTTCAAGACGGGCAGGATAGAGCAATTTCGCCAGCATCCCGAACACGCAGGAACCCGAATGGGCCCGCCGAAAGAGGCGCGTGCTCAAGGTCCTTGAGTGCCGTGACGGCCACCCGTGGGGGGTTTCAATCGCTCCCCACCGCAATGCCGGTCACAGCAGCCCATGCTGGCAGGCACCCCATGTCCAACAAGGGGGGGGACAACGCAGTCGCCGTCCACCCCTGCCGAGACAGGAGGGCACGACTTCCCCTCCATTCGCTTCTCGCTCGATAATTTCAAGCACTCTTTAACTCTCTTTTCAAAGTTCTTTTCATCCTTCCCTCGCGGTACTTCTTCGCTATCGGTCCCTCGCGCATATTTAGCCTTGGATAGGATTAACCACCCAATTGGGGCTGCATTCCCAAGCAACCCGACTCTTGGACAACACCTCGTTTCTCAGCAGGGTCCGGCGGTCGACGGGGCTGTCACCCTCTTCGGCGTCCCCTTCCAGGGAACCTGCACACGGCCCGCTGCAAAGGTTACCTCTCAAGACTACAATTCAGGGAGCAACACAGCCCCCAGATTTTCAGTTTGGGCTATTCCTGGTTCGCTCGCCGCTACCAAGGGAATCCTCGTTGGTTTCTCTTCCTCTGCTTATTTATATGCTTAAATTGGGCAGGTGCTCCCGCCCAACCTGAGATGAAAAGGCAAGGCCCGACGTACCTCCACATCTCGAGGCCGACACCCCCAACCGCAAGCCCACCTCGAGCTGATCGGAGCGAACAGAAGGCGGCAAGCACACAAACCGGAGGCACGACCTTACCTGCCGTTTTCAGGGAAACGAAGACCACCACCCACAAACCGGTGCTGGAGGGCAACAACAGGGCGGAGAGAAACGCACCACTCTGGGCTGCGGCCCCCACAGGCCCGCTCGGAATGCTCTCCAATTCCCTTCCACTTTAGGCTATCGACGCTCTCGAAGTGGCAAGCCAGGGAAGCCACGACCACGGACCCCACGACTCTCCGAAATGGAAGGTGCTGAGGTCGTGAGGAATCCAATGATGCTCAGGCGGGCGTGCCCTCGGCAGAAGCCTCGGGCGCCACGTGCGTTCAAGGTATCGATGGCTCACGGATTTCTGCAATTCACATTCAGTATCCCACTTCGCTGCGCTCTTCATCGTTGCGAGGGCCAAGATATTCGTTTGCCAAGAGTTGTACAATATGGTGCAGTTCCGACAGGACCGACCCCTCGACCAGAACACAAGGGGGCCGTCAACCCGGACAGCGACAAATCAGAGCAGGTACATCGATAAGGAGTTGAAAAGTCGTCGCCACCAGCCGCTGCCACGGGCCCGCCCGACCCCCCGTTCGGGGCACCGGGGAGCAGCGGGGCAACGAGGGTGCAAGCGCTGTCTCCACCCCGAGATTCAGACCACCTCAACTGCGTCCAGTACGACGATCTCTTTTGAAAGGAGAAGCCCGTCGGGAAGGAAGGCAAGCCGAAACGGGGAGGGGCCGAGGACCCAGCAAGACACCCCGCCCCTAGCCTGTACCACGACCCTCGATCCCCAAACAAGCCCCGAGCTCAGCACGAAGCCGAGGTCGAGGCCGGGATGAAAAGGAGGTCTGGACAAAAATGAGACCAAAAGGAGTGGGGGTACGCAGGCCGAGGACAGCCGCCACCACCCGAAATCCCGCCCCTGACCCGGCCGCAGCGCTGTGTGTGCCCGGACCAACCGCCATCCCGACCAGAAGTCGAGAGTGTGGCTGGGCCGAGGTAAAAACGTGCGGAGGCGAGACGGGATGAAGGGGGAGCAATGTCACAAGGCCACGGACCCTGCCCACTCCCCCCACCCTCGACCTACACCACACGCCCCTCTGCGCCGGGCCAGCTGCCAACTGGGCACTAAGCCCAAGATGGTGCTGAAACGGAAGAGAAATGCGGATGCAGGGAGGATGGGGGCAAAGGGAAGCGGAAGGGCGAGCAAGCCAGCGTCCCACACCCCGAAGATCGGCCATTCAGGTGTCAATGATCCTTCCGCAGGTTCACCTACGGAAACCTTGTTACGACTTCTCCTTCCTCTAAATGATAAGGTTCAATGA